TTTGACATTTTAGTTACAATATCGTCGTGAGTTTTTTGAGAATGACATAATAATTAAGTGAAAGATTAAAATTAAAAAAACATATGCACAGTTATTAATATTACAGTTCAATATGCAAAGATTTTACAAGACTATTTTGTTGTTAACATACATAATTTAAGAAATATTATATTTAAGCAATTTAAAAATATATTTATATCATATGATTTTATGATAAAATTGATAACATACATTTATAATAATAGCTCTAATGTTAAAATGAACATAATTTTGATTGAGTCCTTAAAAGTGTTTGCATTGAATTCTATTGTTATTTACTGATTCATCATTTTCTCTCACATAGAGTTATGTAAATGTGAATACATTCAGGCAGTACATATAAAATTGTAATTAACTGCTCTGATGAACTATTTTCATTGGTTCCCAAACTGCATGAATTTAAGTCTGCTACTAGGTTGTCATCTCAGTCCCGCTCCTTCACTGTCGAAATGGTAAAATTTAGCTGTCTCTTCTACTCCAATAGCGTCATGTCTCGCACTTTCTATCTGTGTAACTTTCTTCCTCTTACTTGCTTCCCTGACAGTGATAGTCTTCAAATATCCAAATGTAATGTCAATCGACATCTTCTGGGTCTAATTCCCTGTCCTTCTCTTCATCCTTTCCTCAATCACGTCTATTTACTCTTGCTCCCACTCTCTGTAACCCCTTGCGTGCTAGTGGCACTCCCGCCTTGCCTGTAAAATTTTATTAGAAACAAAGAAAATAGTGCTGAACTTTTATGCAATATTGGTACTCCTGTATATCAGTGAAAGCTGGACAATCTCCTCACAGATGAAGAAGAGACTGAGAGCAACAGATATGTGGTTAATAGTAAAGGATACAGAGAATACCAATGGACTAAACATGTGAATAACAAAGACTTTTTCAGGAAAATGGAAACCAAAAAAAAAAAAAACACTTATACTTAGAATCAGAAAGAGGAAGTTGAAATTTCTAAGACACATAATGAGGAAAGAAGACTAAGAAAATTTCACACTCACAGGACCTTGTGAAGGTAAGAGAGACAGAGGAAAGCACCAAGTAACATACCTCTACTGATCTTTGGTAAATGGATGGCAGAACAGGAAGTAGGAAAGATGATGAAATGACAAACCTTACTAAGAGATACAAAAGATAGGAAGTTGTGAATATCCATGATCACCTACATCCTGAAGGGAGACAGCAAGAAGAAGATCTTCCACAATTCCAATACACCTTTGGATTACTATGTCACATTTTCCTTCCTCTGTTACTACACTACCAAAATAATTAAATTTCAGTACTTGCTTCATTTTGACATCTCCAATGCAAAGCTCATCTATTGCCAATTTTGTTTTCTTACAAGTGAAAGTTCTTTCTTTTTGCTTTCCTTTACTACCTTGTCTAGTTTTATTTCTGTTGCAGTCATCAAGATGATGTCATATGTGTATCTTATGTTGTTAAGATGATGTCAACCAATTATAAATCCTAGGTGAACTTCTAGTTTTCTTAAGACCACTTCACTGTACAGGTTAATTAAATCTGTTGAGAAGATGCAGGAATAAAAAGCTTTAAAAAATGCCTGTTTTATAATGCTCCCTCAAAACAAATTTTCTAGTTCAGTGACCAATTAGCCTTATTAATTTTTTTTTTTTCTGTGACCGACATTGGAGAAAGCATGATAATTTTTATTCTTGAAATTTCCAGTATCTGATTGGTTGTTATTGTTGATAATCTGATTGGTTGTTATTGTTGTCTCTGCATGTTATTTTCTGATTCCAGATTGCTGTTGTGTTTCCATGAAATTCTTCTTCTCCATGACATTTTCCAAAGTAAGAAGATGTGAAATGTTGGGCAAATTATTAACTAGCCAAAAATGTCATGAAGAAGCATAACAGGGACACTGGGGAGTGGATGAACCATTACAGGGAAGGCTAAATAATGGAAATGTAAAGGAAAAGGTTTCTTTTTCCAAAGCATAGTGACGGCAGTTAATAGTGAAGGTGATGAGAAAGAAGAAAGAGAACGAAAGAGAAAAAAAGAGAAAGAGAGAGAGAGAAAGATGTTATTTCCTCTCAGCTACACCATTGGTGTAATTTGCACACAACAGGCTTTCATTTCTTTCTATTCCTTTCTCAGTTTCTCCATCTTTCCTTTGACATCAGAATAACCAAACGTGTGCATTCGACAGAAGCAGCAGCTGCTGCGAGCAGTTCAAGAGAAAATGGAATGACTTGGGTCCCATCAAGTGAAAAGCTGGAAATTGCAAAAACGATTATCTTTTAACATACAATGAGGGTGGAAATATCTCAGGTCTGAATGTACCTTCCTGCATCTTGGTAATGGGTAGAATGAAGAAATTGGTCATGGGTAGTGGTGGTGGTGGTGGTGGTGGTGTGAAAGAGAGAGGGATATGTGAGGGTTTAAGAGAGGGTATCTGTGTTGGTGGTGAGACTCAGTGGGGTGTCTCCTTCTGCTGGATAATGACCTGTCTTATGAAGAAAAGGACGAAGGAAACAAGCGAATGAAAAAATAAAAAAAAAAGGACAAAAAAAGAAAAGGAATGTTGAAGAGCAGTGAATGTGTATAGAGGAATCCGATTTTCTGGTATGTTGACATTTATATGGGTCATAATTTTTCCTTTCACATTTTCTGGTAAACAAAGCGGAAGAAAGAAGAAAGCAATAAAAGGAAGGAGTAAATGTTGCTTTGACTACGGGAATGTAACAGCCTTCTTTATCCATAAATGTTAAAAGACCCATCTCTTTAATAGTGTAGGTAAAAAAATGAGAAGAACATAAAGATTTCATGCAGCAATTTCTTGATACTAAAAACTTAATGTTACCTGAAGCTTCCTAGACTATACTCTGCATGTGTAAAAGCATGGATCTGAAGAAATGTGCATTGACCATTTAACCATTCCACACCACATCCCAAACGAATCTACTAATAGAAAACTGTATTTCTTCTAGAGACCAGTGTACCAATGACACGGGGAGCTATGCTGATGATATAGGTATTCTGGAGTAAGAACAATCTTGAACAAAAAAAAAAATTAACATTGTCAACCAAGTGTTCCAAGAACTTACGATAAACCTTTCCAAAACAGAAATTATGATCAGGAATTGGAATGAAAGCAGTGATGGCACCTGAATCCATCATACAAATCTAGAATGTGGGATTAATAAACTCTAAACATTTTAAATATCTTGGTGTATAGATCAGTTATAAATAGTTTAATATATGAGATAAGTAAATTGAACATTAAATGGGCTGTGCTAAGAGTACTTTTGTTCAGCACTGTATAATGCTACAAAACCAAATTGTTAACCTAAGAAATTGAGTCTTGTTTTTAAAAAGCCTTGTCAGATCAAGACTCTCATATGAATGTCATCCATCCTGGCTATGACGATAAACAATATCCGCATCTTGGGTAAGATGATAAACTACATCCGCATCCTGGGTAAGATGATAAACTACATCCGCATCTTGGGTAAGATGATAAACTAGATCCGCATCCTGGTTAAGATGATAAACTATATCCAACAGCAAAGCCTCTGATCAGAAGATTTTGAGGAGTGTGGAACCACCTTTTAATTGCTGATGTTCCCAGGTACACCCTGACCTGGGGTGGTAGCACCTGTTAGGGTCCCAGCTATGGGCAAATAGTTAACCCCCAAACTCTGGTCAAAATACTATGAAAGTGTAAAAATAGGTTTTAATACCAGAAATACTTTATAAAAAAAAATTATTACCAACAATACATTTTTGAAAAACAAATATTACCAGCAATACATTTTTTGAAAAACAAATATTACCAGTGAAGGAAAATTCTTACCAGAAATAGATTTTTGAAGGAAAAAATATTACCAGAAATAGGTTTTTGAAGGAAAAAATATTACCAGAAATAGATTTTTGGAGGAAAAAATATTACCAGAAATAGATTTTTGGAAAAAAATATTACCAACAATGAAAATTTTGTCAGCATTCAATAACCCATTGAGGTTCATATACCATAAAACCAAACAAACCAAACCAAACGAATGTCATGCATGGCAACAAACCCATTCAGAAATATTTAAACCAGTAACTCTCAACTAGCATGCTGCAACACACTAGCATGCCATGCAATCCTCTCAAGTGTGCTCTGAAATATGGTACACATATATATGTCTGTGTGGAAGTAGTAATTTTACAGTGTTAGTATTTGAATAAATGAATAAGTATTAAACATTTTATCCCACATTAGCTAAAAAGGCTTCATCAGTTTTATTGCAATTTTCTACCTCTTATTTAGGTGAATTAGGTTTCTCAACCCTAAGTAACATCAAAAATAAAAAGTGAGAATGACTATGCTCAACTTAAGAAGAAAGGAAGGTCTTTTTATCGCACATTCATCCAAACATTGAAGAAATCACAAAAAAACAACAGGCACAGGTTTCACACTAAATAAGCTGCACAAATAGTCGAATAGATACATTGAAATAAGTCCATATTTGTGCGTGTATATTTTAAAAATCTATGATTTCATTTCATAACCTTTAAAAATTTTGCTAAGTGTGCCGTGCTATTTTCGTTTGCTTCTCGGTGTGCTGTTGCTTAAAAAGGTTGATCTAAACTAACAGTGATATACAAATGTTTTCTTAGATCAATGATTAAAAATGGCTTCAAGCAAATGAACCCTGTGGGTCTTCAAGAGGATTATCCTTCATTGGATCTCATAGACTGATGCTACAGGATCATAAAAAAGACTTTGACAGATAACAGAGACTAAGTCACTTGAAGACTTTCAAGAGCAGTATCAACTGAAATGGATATCACATGTAACTCAAAGAGAAAATAATGACATAATCAAGATATCAACATACTACCTTAAAAATCAATATGGGAAAGACTGATAACAGTAAACTTGAGAAACGTATTTTCCTGAAAATGCTGAATGTTTCCTTATAAGGGAACAGCTAATCTCACCATTACTGTTACAGCCATACTGTGAATACACCAGTTCTGATCACTGAAGTTAAGCATCATTGAGCTTGGTCAGTACTTAAATGAGTGACCATTTGGGAATAACAGGTGCTGAAAGCTTAAATTGGGAAGATGGGACTTGTCATCCTGAGAGAACAGTCCATCTAAAACTAAGGTTCTGAAACTTTTTAGACTGTCAACCCCTTCATAAAATCATTGCTTCTTAGACTCCCAGGCATGTACAAAAATATCATTGATAATTACTTTTTATTTAAGGGTAGAAATTCCTTTTCCTTCATTATTGTTTCTTAATAAGATTCATTTTAGCTTTATATCTTCTTAATTCTTTTTCAATTTTTATTTTTCTTCCTATCCTAGATGTGTTTGTTTGAATAATAATAATAATAATAATAATAATAACGAGGAAAACTTTCTAAATAATATGAGTAATAATAAACAAAAAATAAATTAATATACCTTTTTATTAACTTAATTTAATAAGAAGATTTGGATAATAACAATGGTGTTGGTTATTTATTGGAAGAACTGGACAAACTATTTGAAAAGAACAAAACAGATCAGTCCTATGCTTCATATATGGATTTTGATGAGTTCCACAGAGACAGAAACATAATCAAAAATACAATAAGTGTTAAAAGTATGAGATGGTGCTTTCTGATGATGTATTAGCATTCAAGCTCCTTGATAATGCTGGATTTACCAAAAGTAAATGTCAGCTTACTTTAACTGCATGCCATGACTTAAAATATGGGACTATAAAATCAGCTTTAAATCGAACTTTTGGGACCAAAGCATCTACTGTAGAAGATGACATGTCATTCAATACTAAAGAGGAATCTGCATTCATGACTTGCAGTGGTGCTTATGGCTCCCGGTACTAAAGGATACATTTTCCTTGAATTTGTGCTGATAAGTCCAACAGTGGTACTGCTAACAGATCTTTGGGAAAACTGAAACCATCTTTTAATGGAGTTATATCAAGGTGCAGATTTTGTGATTCTAAATACCATTGGATTAAGCATTGCCCACACAAAAATGTTCACATGACAGAAGACCAGTCTGATATGTCAGAAATGGAAAAACTAACATTGTACTTATGACGTCAACAACTCAAGTTTTGTCTCCTCAGTCTGCGTTTGTGGTGGAGGCATATAATACAGTTGTCATCAACACTGCATGCTCTAAAATGGTGTCTGGTTCAAATTGGCTTTTATACCTTATTCACCTTTATCTTCCACAGAAAAATCTATAAGATCAAAAATTGGCCAGGTGCTTTGGCTTGCTACACAAACCCGTCCTAATATTGCATTTATCAACTCCCTGGATAATTTTATCAACCTCCAGGAGTTGATATTGACCACTTTGCAGACCTCTGATCTGAGAGAAGAAAACCTCTGATGTCATACGTTCATTGTCTCATGGCCATATTCAATCATGGGTAGTGTTTTGGGAATAAAACAAGAGATTTTGACATTGTGTCTAATCTCATTCTGGCAATTCCCATGATGATGCTTGTATCAAGCAGGATAGTCTTGTGCTTTGATTTCAAATCTCCACTACCTTGAGCCACACCCAATCATGGATAACTGGACAAATCATACCTACTGTGTTTCAATTCTAGCTTGCATCATTTCTCAGCCTGTGAAGCTCCTTTGTTGGACATAAGTCCTTCCCATATTCATAGGGAGGAATGGATGATTACCCTAATATGCTGACCCAACGCATATTGGTAGGAGAGGATGTGACATTCTTTGGCAGTCATGTCTGTTTTCGATTAATGATCACACAAGGTTATTTGCACATAAGTGAATGTAATTAACCTGACTGGAATTCAGACTCAGCTGTTTACTTTCTCATTCTGCGCCATCATCCATTACACCACCCGCACATCTCACATCCAACCATACGGCACTTCTTTTCTTTGTTTCTAACAAAATTCGCTTGTTTCTCAATACTTTAGGTTTAAGAAGGCAATTATCCCTCTTCTAATGTACCTTCAGATTTCACTGTCACTTATTCAATCATCTGTTATAAATTTTCCCAGATAGGTAAATTTCTGTACATTAATCCATGGCTTGCATCTTGGGATGTTCCCCTTGCTGACATGCATACATTCTGTCTTCTTACAATTGATGGTTAGTCCCTTCTTTCTTATTTAACTACACGGACTTCAGTTTCAGATTAGTGATTATTACAATTGTGATAAAGTAATCGGGAGTAATCTCCATTTTTATGATTATCTCCCTTGGAGAACGATTTCATTTGTAGAGGACTATAAATAGTCACTACACTGGCATCACTTATCCTAAGCAAAATAAAGCTTCCTTGAGCCTACTTTTGCTCTCTTTTGTTATTACAACAATATAAGCTGTTATGAATAAAGATTTAAATTCATGTGATTTTCTCTTTCTCCAGTACAAAGCAACAAAGTGACCATGAGGTGGGGGTGTTTTTGATAGTTTACTACTTGGTTGAACTTATCCTTGTCAACAGCAACCAAATGTGATAATATAAACAGTGGTGAAGTTGGTTCATCCTGGGACTTTATAAACACATGATCAAATCCTGGTCACAGCAACAAATAAGGTATAATGCAGTGGGGTGGATTCTAATGATATTAATTCAAGCTGTTGTTGATAGTGAAAATCATAGTTGCACTTAGTTCATTAGGACTTGCTTCTTTGGGCTTTTTAGTTCTTGCTAGATTTCTCTGGCAACTGCTCTTGTCTTGCTGTGGCGTCAAGAAGAAGAGTTAAAAAAAAACAGTTTTGAAATTGTAAAGTACAACTTAAATTTTCTGTCTCCAAACTGATGGACACAATGCCCACTCCCAGCCCTAAACTCTGCCGAGGTTAAGGAGCAAGATTTATGTTAGCTCTTTCCTCTCTGCTATCCAGAACTAATTCTGACAACATAATTAATTGCCCTTCCCACTGAAAACTGGTATTAACCCTCCTCTGATTGGCTAACTAATCACATAATGCCTGTTATTAACTTTTATCCCTGTTTTTGCTTATTCATAACTTGCAGGTGCACTAATATAAACAATGCTTTCACCTTTCCAATTCAACCTAGCTTGCACTTGGAGACCCTATTATGATTGATATATTTAAAATAATGGGTATCCATTTTAATATAAATTCTATCATCTTGTACTTGTAAAATCTTACCTCATTCATTATCATCAATTAATGAATTGTAATTAAAGCCAAATTAATTCTACCGTCACTTTTTCTTTAGAAATAAGCAAAAGAAGATATGTCTACAGAAATGTTTGATTTCCTGTACCACTCCTGACTTCTATTGCAATCTTCTATCTTACAAGAGTCTGATCAGGCCCAAAATGGAATTCTGCTACCATATAGAGGAACAGAGAAGCCCAGTATTCACTTTCCAGTCTCAAAAAGTGTCTCCACATCCATGAGGGTGATGAATTATTTTCCACCCTACAACCTCTTTCCCACAAATGAAATATCACAAGCCTCCTGTTGTTCTATCATTATTTCCATGGAAAGTGTTTAGACAAACATTCCTTAGTTCCACTAGTTTTAACTTTCACAGCTAAGACCCATCATGCCACACACATTGGAGTGAACCATTCTCATTCTCTTTGTATTCCCTTCGTGAGATGGATGTTCCTCTCAAGCATCTTCTTCCCATGAACTGTTGCTTTGTGGAACTGACTCCCAACAGAATTTTTCTCTGACCATAACAATCTTAACCTGTTCAAGTATAGGGTTAATTGAGTCAACCATTATCTTATCTACATAATTTTTTTTACAATAATATTTATCCTGTATAAGCCCCAAGAGCCACTTGAGGAAATATCCCCATAAACTGTATCTCTTATTCTATAACCCTCTACTGTGAGTAACTCTAGGGCCTTTTACAGAACGAACATTATTTTTAAAAAAATTCTCTATCTGGCTCTTTGGCTATCAGCTTTTAGCTTCTCATGATAGATATGTTTTGATTGGAAATAGTATTCTTGTGCCTTCTATAGCCTTTTTCCAGTAAGGGGTTCAGGTGGAGTGTCAAATAATTGAACTTGTTATGCTGAAATATAGATATATATGAGGCTGAGTCAAAATGTTTGCCCCTCAGTAAATCATAATGTTTGTCTCTCAATGCCTCTTTCATTGGATCAAAGAGATGGAATGGGTGCTAAGTCAGGCAGTGATGAAAAGTGAAAACTGCTGTAAAGAACAAGCTACATTAGCATCCAACTGAATTTTACAAAGCTGTAATACATAATTGAATGAAGCAGTGACTATGTTGAGAAGTATGGAAGTGAACCTGTGATGTATAGCTATATCTTGATATATGATATGCTTGATTGCATTCCTTATTTCTTATATAATAAAACAAACTCCAATCATTTTTGACTCACCCTTTGTTGTAACCTAGAGAAGGTTACTGAATAGAATAATCATATGAAGGTTGGTAATGCATGGTAATACTTAGAACAAGAACAACACATATAAAATTTGCCTGCAGTTCATAGAAGTAGTAGTCAACTGCTAGGTGGGAGTCAAGTGAATTCCACAATGAATCTCCAACTGCAGACCAACATACAGTATTTACTACTGTATTTATATGAATGGGGACATACCCATTATCATCCATAGGTATGCTACAACAACCTCACATATAGAGAGAAAGATTCACTCATAAATACATAGAGGATAAAGCTGTGCATTTCTTAATGAAATGCAACTGGACTGAATTTTTAACTTCCTCTGTATGAATTACAACAGTGATTTAAAAATAAGTAGCAGGAGGAAACTGTTGTAGTGTGGAATAAACTCCTGAGAGGATGCTTCTCTGATCACTTCAAATCAAATTCTTCAAGTTAAGGATCAACCATTATCTATCCTATGTTTCATTTTAAAAAATAAGTGCAAACAAAAAAAAATGTTTATTTAAAAAAAAAAGATTTATTTAAAATTTAAAAATTATTTAAAAAAGATAATGTTTACAGTAGGATAACAAAATAAAAATGTTAATTTTATGAGAGGATCAAATCAGGAGTCTTTAAAGAGTTATGTGCCATTACCACATATCTTTACCTTAATTGAGCGATGGGTGAAGGATACGCTTTGATTTTGAAAATACATCAGAAAATTTAATTTCTCTTTTTTTTTTTTTTTTTTTTTTTTTACAAAACATTAGCTTCTAAAACGTCTGCTGAAGTTGTATCTGTGGAAAAAGTCTGTGGGTCCCATTCCAGAAAATAAGTGCAAATGAATGACAAAAAAAATGTGTATTGAAAATCTAAGCAAAGGAATATTTTCACATTGATAATAGAAAAAAAATATTTTATGAGAGGATCGTATAAAAATATATATAAAACCTGGAATCTTTAAAATTTAACATTAGCATCCTTTCCTCCATTTTTAACATATGATTTACCACTCAACAATCTTTTCTGACTTTTTTTTCTCTTCTGAATCTTGTTACCAGTTTATTCTAGATTAAATCTTGTTTGATACAATTTAACAATCAGACCATGAAGCATTAAATATTGGAATATAAACTAATCATTTTGAAGAAAAATAAATTTACTTCGTTTTCACACCAGGTTCATTATTTTGGTCCAAAACTTTTTTTATAAGATTGAAGACCTTATTTATCAATAATAGCTCCACAACTTTTGATATTTAATTTACACACTTAACCTTGCCTGTATAAGCTGGTTTTATTGTGTTAATAATTCATAATCCCACACAAACTCCAAAATAGATCAACTTTCAAAAAATGTATGCTGACAGATTTAAAAGCAGATATAATAACTTGAATGAGACTAAAAATTCAGAGTGCAACCCCACAAGAGAAGCGCTAGTGGCATCAGCAAACAAGAACATCTCAAAAAAAGGGAAAGGAAAGGGAGGCAAGAAAAAAGAAATGGATGACGGATTATTTTGGTCCAAAACTTGTTTTATAAGATTGAAGACCTTATTTATCAATCATAAAATTTAACATCTGTCTTAGAAACCACAGAATTTGATATCTAATTTCTGCCCTTGGCCCTGACTGTATAAGCTGGATTTGTTTTGTTAATAATTCATAATATCAGACAAAAAAACAGACTAAAAATGAAAAAAAGCAAACAAAAGCATGAACTTGAGTTGGTTGACAGATATGATACCACTACCATTATATATTATTCAACAGAACTGTTTCAGCAAAATGTAACATGACAACAGGAAGTGTCCTACTGACCAAATTTCAAGTCAAAGATCTCCAGCTGCACTAAGCATATTTATGCAAGTAAGGTCAAAGAATAACTCATTAAAATATTTGTAGAAAAAGATGTGTCTAATTATGCTAACTAGAAATACCTGCAAAAATTTCACAGTTTGCTATTTTAATTTTCAGATGAATTATAATTCCTAAATTTAGGACTGAGGTTCTACAACTATAAAATACCAGTGGAAATTATCCTATTGCCTTGTTAATTATTTGAGTTTAACAATTTAGGGATACAGAAGGCGTTTATCTCCCTTTGGTGGAGATAAGTCATGTGGTCATATCATGACTGTTTCATGACATTACTCCATACAGCAACCCAAATTGGCTGTTATTTTTGCAGTTCGTGAACAGCAACCAAATGGTGGTGAGGTTGCTTTCTTTTAGCCGGGATCAAAGGGCCCAGGTTGAGGCTAAATCTGCTTCTTCAGCAGCTTACAAACACATGGTACCATTTGCCTTTTAAACTTAAATGAATCCAGCCCATTTAAATCTGGACTACTAAAAATGGCTTTTCCAGGTTAGGAATATTTTCACATTATATATAAGACCTTTCCTTTTTGTTCATCCTTATACTTTGCTTTGCTATGTAGATATGTGTGATATATAGTTCTCCACATGGGACACATGTATATATGCATATTTATAGTTTTGTGTACGTCTTAGGATTATAAAAGTCTCTCTGAGAACAAAGCAGATTTGTCATTCTTTTTCCTTTCAGCCATTCTGTTCCATCCTGTCTACAGTGTTGTTATATCATTGATATAACAATGCCCATAACGAGAGAAACCTGATTGGGAGAATAAATCCTTCTCCCTGGCTCTGTTCTCATTGTGTTGGTGACCAGAACTTGATCATCCTCTGACTATGTGACTTATCTCCTCCAAAGGGAGATAAGTGCCTTCTGTATGCCTACAACTTTAGCAAAATATTGCAATAACAATCATAAGTTCAATGCAGGTCATTATTGAAAGAAGCAAGAGAGTACAAATTTGACATTGGCAAGACTTACCATTTCACTAAAGCAGCTGTTAAATGCATGAGAGTCTTATCACCTCCTCTATCTTTTCTTTTTCTAACTGAAACAAAACAGTGTCTCTGATATGTTTTCTATCTTTCCTCATAATCAAAATGGAATGGTTTATTAATTATAAGGCATTGGCAGGGTGTTTCTTTATTTTTTACTTCTTCCTTTCTTTCTTTATCTCACTGAAATCAAACAGCATCTCTGAGATAATTTTCCATCTTTCCTCACAATTAAAATGGAAGAGTCCATTATTCATGAGGCTTGGCAGGGTGGAACATACATGCTAACTAACTAAAGAACAAGCAGAATTATATGATCACTGAAAATTGTCTGTACCCACTTTTCTAATCTTACTTTGTTGCATTCCACCCAATCCACAAGCAAGCCAAAATCTCTTCATACTCTGTCTCTCTCTCTCCTTAGATCCAAGTCAAAGAATCAATTATTTGCATTGTTTTACATTACAAGACTTTATTGAAAAGTTCACAGCTTGACAGCTGTCTGCCAACACGTCTTGTCAACTTGAAGTCGGTTGGCCTTAAATTTTGCATTGGCTTTCATTGTTTTAGCAGTTGCTGCTGCCTTTGAGATATTGCAAAAGTGGATGAAATGTAATTTTGTGGAATAAAAAGGAAACAAAAAAAAACAAAGAAAGAAATCAGCTTTTGTTTCTCATTGTAACAGTGAAAATAACCTATGGGAGGGGAAACTAAAGAAAGTTCAATTTGATAACTAAAAATAGAGATGTTTTTGAGGGTTTTTTTTTTCAGGGGAATAGCTAAAATTGCAAATCTCAGCCACAAAACATTTTTGGTCAGAAACGCAAAAATTTGGCACATTGTTCAATTTTCTTATTTCAAATTTATTTTTCTTATTGTTTATGAATGATGCATATCTGCCATATCTACAAAGCTCATTCTTTCTATCTCTGCACACTTTTCATTGTGCCTTTCATCAGCCTGCATTTTGTTTTTAACTTTGTACCTTTCCAAAGTGTGTTGCATCAAAATAATATTTATTTTTGAAACTATTACTTATATTTTGTGCTTACATGCTTGATCATTACATTTATTATTACAATTAATGACAGGTAGTTTTATATTTATTATTTTTAAAATGATTTTGATCACCAGAATTTTATTAATCAAAGATTCTTATATCCAAAACTCTTATTATCATAATGATATTATCAAGTCCTTCTTATGATAAATATATTTTATCTGGAGAAAGTTATCATTATAGCTATGATTTTAAGATTAACATTTCTATTACTGCTATTCTATTATTAAAGACAAAACAGCTTGAGTTTAATGTTCTATATTCTGTACCATTCCTTGGCATTGCTTACTGCCTCTTTTTCATCATCTCAAGAGTTTCATCTGTCATCCATTTCTTTTTTCTTGCCTCCATTTCTTTAGGATGTTCTTTTTTGCTGATGGCACTAGTGCTTCCTTTGGGGTGTTCCATTTTGAATTTCCAGTCTCATCCAAGTTGTTATATCTGTTCTTAAATCTGTCAGCATACATCTTTTGAAATTTGATTAATTTTAGAGTATTGTAGATTAGTCATTCTTTGGTTTTCTTTATTTTCCATTATTTTAATCTGAGTTTGTATATGACTGGAAGGTGATTACTCCCACAGTCATCACTTAGATAGGTATTACAGTGTAAAATTGCATTCCTGGATCTTTTTGGGATTATTATATATCTGATCTGGTTCTTTGTGTCTCCTCCTAGGCTTTTCCATGTTCAACAGCAACTTTGGTCCTCTTGTAAGCATGTATTAGTTATTATTTGGTCATTTTCTTGGTGTACATATTATGGGATTCATTTGTCGGTGTACATATTATAGGATTCTAATTCATATTTGGCAACTATTTCACCATATTTTTCCTTTCCTACTATAGGATTCATGTCGGCTATGATGTGATTTCTAAGAAACCCTTAACAGTTTATTCTATAGGAATATGATAGATGTGCTGGAGTTATAAATTGAGATACTAAGAATACTTTTCTCCTGACCATCATGAGTTATTTTCAAGAAAGAATGAAAGTCAAGAGATATCTAGTATAGTTTAAGTTTTGAAATGAACATGGGTCCACATCCTATAATTTGATGATGAAATAGATTCTAGGGTGACATGGAAACAATGCCTTACAGTTTAAAGACATTTTAACACATGAGTCCCTGGAGTGAAACAAATGTTCTTGATAATGAGTTGCTTTCTTTTTAAATGTATAGAGCCTCCAAGATTTGTAGTCATTCTTTACAGTTAGAGTGCTAGAAAACCATTGCATCTGTAGACCAAAATTTGAAGATTGCATTGAAGTTTGAAACTGACAGTCATTTAAAAAAAATGCTATGATCAAAAGAACCCCGTGAAGCTTTTAAAAAAATCACATAGTTGAAGCCTATAATGATAGAAAAGGCTACAAAAAGTTATCAAAATGATTTGAAGTGCATGTCTCCAACATGTGACAAATTATTTATAAATGGAAGACATTTAGTATGATGGCATCGCAATCAAGAAGGGACCATCTGCAAAAATAACTGCAAGCACAAGTAGACATCTAGTTTGACAAGCCCAGGCTGTGACCTTTACGGTTCTCCAAGGCTCCCTGAGTAATGTCAGAATCAAGTACATACAACAACATTTGAACAATGCTGGTCTTTATGGCAGAATGCCTAGTCAAAAGCCACTGCTTATAAAAAAGCACAAACAAGCTTGACTCAGCTATGCCAAAGCTCATATTAATAAGCTAAAACATTCTGACAAAAGGTTTTATGGTTGGATGTGACCAAATTCGAGCTTTTTTGGAAGAATGATAGGTGGTATGTTTGACAAGCTTCTAATAAGGCTTTTGAATGGTAGAATTTGATACTAGCAGTTAAACATGGCAGCAACAGCATTATGATTTGGGGGTGCTTTGATGCAGCTGGAACAGGTAAAATAGTACAAATGAATGGCACAATAGACTCTGCAAGATACTAAGCAATTTTGAACAAAATTGTCTTGCCTTTGGTTCATAAGTTGGGTTTAGGTTGGGGCTGAATCTCCCTACAGGACAATGATCTGAAACATCAAAGCAAATCCACAAAAGAATGGGTTCAAAAAAATATTTTTTTTAGAATGGCCTAATCAAAGTCCTGATATAAAGCCAACTGAAAATCTGTGGTTCAAGTTAATGAAAGTAGTACATGCCAGAAATCCAGATAATATTGGAAGTTTTGTTAAGAAGAATAGTCAAAATCTGACATGCACTACTGTAAGAAACTTCTTAAAAATTATAGAATAAGACTGATTGACACTGAGACGTTAAAAGAAGGAGTCACCAAATATTAAATGTAAAGGTTCACTTACTTTTGCACATCTTAATTTTTAGTTAATATTTTATTTCAGCTTGATAAAAAATTTTTGGCAGTGGTTGTGATTTGTTTAATAAAGGTTTTTCCTAATAAATAAATAGTTTATTTAAGATTTGTTTATTATCTGGAAAAAAAGAGACAATTATTTGAAATATTATCTTAAAATGGAACACTACATAAGAACAGAAAAATATTAGGTCAGACTGGGGTCAGACCATGGATATTTTAAGAGAGTGCTCAATACACAATTCCAAAAAACTGAATGTGCAGTGCAGATAATAATATAAAAAAATTGAAAAATTTCACCCTCAACACTTACTCAGGCTTCATCCTTATCTCATCAGGTAGTTTTTAGTAAATAATTAATTTGTAGCACGATTCAACCAGCTTATAAAACTTGGCACCATAAAGTAAAATTATTAGAAGTGGGGATGAGTAAAGAGTAAGAAGAACCGGAAGTGAGAGAAAGAAAAAAAAATTACATGTTTATTAATGTGTCTGCATTTGAACATGACATTAGACCATTCATTCGACAACTTGTCTCTGTCTAGGTATGTCACAATAGCTAGCTTTTCCTCTTGATTCAACCTACAATCACTGCCATTAGAACTGCAAGACTTCACCCTTCTCAGAATACTCTATCTTATACCATCTCTTTTATTACATCTCTTTTTGAACTCCCACACATGGCTGGCCTGCTTGATACAATGCCTATGGCTCTCCAATATAAAAGTAGACCTATGATTGTACCACCTTTTCTCGAATGTCTTCTGTACATCCCACATAGACATGTTCTGCTTTGTGAAATCTTCCATCTTTGCCTTATAGATCACACTTGTAGTATTGCAGTTACCATCCAAAGGGCACTTGTTTTTATCCATGCAGTTGCAGAGGCTGATGTCAGTATTGTTACTATGTCCATCCATCTTCAACTTTCTAATGTTGTGTTTCTTTATTATATTATCTAGATTGTTGGTGCAGTAATAATTTAATTTTACAGTATTTCTGTTAAAAAGTTTGTGTAGATTAAAAGTCTTTGGGAAATGCTTAGTAAGCAGTTTAAAAATATTTTCCTTATATTAGTTCTTCTAAGTTAAAAGGTGGTTTGAACCAGATAATATCTCTTTTCAAATTTTTATTCCTCAATTGCTGGTTTCATTGAGGATTAAAATTCAATATTTTTTATGCCCCACCTCTCTCAATATTGTTTCATACGATTTTTTCTTGGGTTCAAAGATATCTTTAGATGAGGAATTTCTTAAAAGTCTGCACTTGAAACCTTTTAGGATGTGCTTAATAATATATGGAGGGTGGTTGATTTTGGAATTTATATATTTCACTGTCATATTTGGCTTCATATATGGAAAGACAGTGCTGGCAGAGAGTTTAAATTCAACATTTAAATATTGTACAATCTTTTTGTTCATTTCAACCGTGATTTTGAATTTAAGGTTGTGGAAAAGTTTGAAAAGCATTTTTCTGATCTTGTTATTTGCCTTTCTATTGTCAGGTACAATAATTAAACTATCATCTCTGAAGAGGGTATGATTATCAATGTGGAAAATTTTGTTGATTTTACTTAATATAAAAAGACCCATGAACGTCAGATCCATCAAAATATCCTTGTGGGAATCAAAGCCATCTTCGCTTGTCTTCTTCACCCAATCATTACCATTGTGGTATAAAATGGATTTGCAACAATGCAAAAATTATATCAATATGTTCAAGGGGGATGTCAACAAAATTTTTTGTATAATCCAATGCTTCAAGCAGGCTTTTCTCTGATAGGATGGAATAGAAGTCTTTAATGCCATATTTGATGAAAATATGCTTTCTTTCAATGCCATGAAGCCAGGAAATACATTCATCAATGCCCTTCCATTGGTTTGCTTGTGTACTTGTAAGAAGTTGCATACATTTTTTAAATTTATTGCTAACTTCAGCTTTGGTGGAATTTATATATATATATATATATATATATATATATATATATATATATATATATATATATATATGTAATAGCTGACCAATTATATTTGAAGACACCTATCTACTAGGGCTGCTAGCCAATCCCTATTGCAGATGCCTGCTCTGTGGTTTACAGTATAACTCTGCTTAGCAGACCTTAGTCACAGTATCTGGGAATGAGTGTGTTATCTTGTGTGATCAACAATGTGAACAAGGCCAGCATGCTCAAGCCCTCAGTCACGATTTGT